AACATGGTGTAACAGTTGTCACTACATAAGATGGTAACAGCATGCATAGTGTACAAAGCCCATTACGATGACATTTTGCACCCAAATGAATTTTGCTTCCATTGAGAAGCCCTCCATTGTCAGTAGGGAAAAAACTCCATTATTTTAAGCTCAAATTAACCCTAAGTTTTAATTTCAGCATCATATTTTTTTCTCCGTCTAAACATATTGTAATGTTCAAATATTAAACAACAGTCATTATATAACATTAGGCATATACATCTGTTCGTGAATGTCATCTGTGTGGTTTTAACACTAACAATTTCTACTGTTCCTGGATTTCCACCTATGCAAAAATGTAAGTATTTTATTATGGTCATATTATGATTGGGGGATTTTTTACACTACTTACTGTAGAGGTTTAAAAATCGTGTCGGGAACAAAGATATTTTTCATTTTATTTTTATGACAAATTTAATCTGCAAAGTATCTAAGAATTCACATGTTATTCAGATAACGGCTCACAACAGTTTCGAATTAACATATCTGACGTCATATCATCCGGGCTTTTTTTAAGGTGTTGACCGCGCATTGATATATATTATATGAAGTGCTTGCAGAGTTGTAAACGCAACGCAATGCTGTCTGTCTTTCCTGTATATTGTAGCCTACCAGTAGAGCACTTTTTATGGCACGTGTTTGTTCAGTAGGCCTAGGCCACTGCCATAGAAGGCAGTGGTAGACATTCATTACGAATAAAACATAAATAATGCGAAATCATAAGGTGATAACACTGGCATCCGTTATGTATCAAAACCTCCTTGTGCTCTAGGGACAAAGTTAAAAATCACCGTACGTTGTCGTAAGATTATAAATTATAGGTAGGGCAAAATTACACCTATAAAGATTATAACTCCTAACAATTGTTCATGTTCTTTCCAAATCTACCGATCCAGCTAACAATATTACGTTATAAGAACATTATAATAACGTTACAGTTTGATGATAAAAACTTTATTTTCAAAACCATATGTACATAGGCCTAATTATAGCCTAATTTCACAACGTCATAACGTTTGAACGTTCTTACGTTATTATTTCTTAAAAATATGAAAGAATAGTGTAGGCATAGAGTTGGCAAGATTGTTCGAGATAAGCCAACAATTAAGTGACTTCATGCAGCAATGACAGAGGCACAATTAGTTTAGTCGGAAATCCGTTCTTCAAACCGTCCAAAAACGAGGGCCACGTTTGCTCACACTTCCAGATTTGGTTCAAATCCTACGAATTAAATGATTGTTCACGGATAAAACAACTCAACTTCTAATAAAATCCCCATGAATTCACGGTTACTTATAATAACTTCATAAATAATGCTTTCCATCGAAAAAAAAAACAAAAACATGCATAATAAAATTATCAATTATAGACCTAAAGTAAATATAAGCCAGATAATTTGTACAAGTCTCAGCTAAGTAAATATCTTCATGTAAACTTGGAATTACGAAAGATAAGATCTATTGATCCTTAACCAATACCAGTAAATAATATTAATAGTTAGGCATAGGCATATTATATTTTGAAGACGGAAATAATCATTTCCTTTCATTGTGTGTATTTCAAAATTATATCAATATACAACACTTTTCTTATGATGAACACCTTTTAGATAGTTAAATATTCATTTTGTAAGTTGCAAAATTCCAACATGAATTGTTTAGAAGTGTGTCAATTTGGTAATTAACGATCCTTTCAAATATTCTTACTATTCTTTTTTCATTGAATAATTTGTGGCCACTCTAGATTTTACCACAGACAGCATACTGAAAACACCCCAAAAAAAACCCCCAAAAAAAACTCTAGTAGGGCCTATATAATATTGATTGTGAAAGCATGGATATTATTGTGGTAATTTATTGATTATAAATAATTAATAATATAATAATATTATTGTCAATTTATTGATTATTAATTAATTAATAATATAAAAATGACCGATGTAATAAAAGAAGTGTTATATAACAGTAAAATAAATATTTGCTAACACCGCGTGAATAGTTCTAAAAAAGAACTGGTACTGTAACAGTAGTATTATGTAGTACAGGTATGTATTGTTGTACTGATGCAATTATTGTTAGGGTATTGTGTAGCGGGTAGCGCACTTATCGGTGTAGTGTAGTCAAGTGCAGTCCCTTGCATGCAGTGTATGACTAGAGTAGCGTATGTGTAGTGTGCGCGTCGTGTAGACACACGTCGTGTAGTGTATAGTGAAGTGCATGCTGTTAGTGTAGAGCGTTCTAGAGCAGACGTGTTTAGTGTTTAGTACAGTTGGTGTAGCCTAATAATATGGTAGTATAATATTGTAGTGTACCGTCTTTACTATAGTGTATTAGATACTGCAGTACGGTATTGTATGCATTTTTGTCTGCTTCTCTACAGTAATCATAACAATAGTTAAATATGAATTAATATAGGCCCACTATGGTATAAAATTTATACAGAAGTGATCTAGACGATTTTGTATAACTGTATTTTTATTGTTTAATGCAAAATAAAATTAAATGAAAGCAATAGGAAAAGTCAGCGTGGCTGTCTAGAGCTGAAGATGGCCCTCAAACATACTCGGAAGAAGGAAGGAATAATTAAGTACAGACGTGTTGGCCTGTTTCATAATTTTACAAAACAAATGGATCAAATTGCACCATTAAGAAATATTGATTATTTTAATAAAAATGACGACCAAGTGGAGGCGTCTCAAACAGATATCGCAGGCAACAATTAGTTTTGCTCGCTGAATTAGGCCCTCTTCCTTTCTTCCTTGTTTACAATTTGATGTCAAAAAGTATTTTTTGGAGATTCTCATATGGTATAGCTATAGGTTTAATAAATAATAATAATAATAACAATGATACCAGTACAGCTCCAATTCAATCAAAGGCGTCTAGCGAGAAAAACAAGATAAGTTAATAGGCTATCCATTCATGAAATACGTGCGTCTTCATTTTTCCATGCATCAAAACTGAGTCTATAGACCTACCGGTCACGCAACCAAAGATGTTTAGTTCAAGTCCTTCTCAACGCACGGCTCAGATATCCGCCACTATTTAATTAACAGCAGCAACTATGAAGGCCGACAAAGGTTAACTTGAAATTAGTTATTAATAAAAATATTTTCTACCTATGTATCTATATATCTGACCTATTTTTCATCTCGTTTTTAACTTTGATCTTGACAAAAATTCTATATAGCGGCTATATGGTAAAATAGATCTAGCTCCAAAACTTAAAACCATAACCACCATTCAATTCTAGTTGTTCTATTGCGGCCCATGACCCTACTAATAACGTATAAATCTGTTCAACACTCAATTTGCAACAGTGCCACACTCTAGGCACAGGCCTACTGTATGTTAACTATTCACGTTGGATGACAGAAAATTAGACCTATGCTTTGTTGATAAGATAATTCTCATAAAGGTAGCCCACCATTAATTTATGTTCTGAGTTTTTATAAGGTATGTTATCAAGGGGTCTCACCATGTCCAAGTCCAAAAGACCAGAGCTGTACAAAATGCAAAAATTATAACTTTAAGGATTCTTACTAGGCCTATATGATTCCGAAGCCTGTGGGTCTCTTACATTTTGATATAGGATCTATCAGTCAATTATTTGCATAAAGGGCAAGACCTATAGTTTAACTGGTACTTATAACATTTACCCTGGAAGCAATCAACATCTGATAACAATTAGAAGTCATGAAAACTCAAATTGCCTTTTCACGATCACGAGTTGTTCAACTTCAATGTGTTTCCCAAATACTATATCCCAGATCCGTGAGGTGTCACAAATAATCTATTAAATTTCTATTATATTGTAGGCCTATCTACTATGATTCAAATAATTGATATGCATCAATGAGCAAGATATAATAATTATAAATAAATCGTTGAAATGGAATGAGAATTGATTCCAGACTGAAGCTTCCTTTATTGTACGTTTGTGACGTCACTAACATGGCGGCCGTGTAAGAAAAGTAGTTCCAATATTGGACACGCCTTTCAAGAAACATTCAGTTATTGATTTTTTGGGAGTTACATACCCTGTATCCGAATGAATATAAACCTAATACAGATAAAATATTGTATTTCCATGATTATTATCGCCTTATATGTTTATATTTCATTGAGCAAGGGGTTGAGCTATCTCTCAGGTTAAAGAAGGTGCATTTCATTTCTAAAATTTTGTTTATGGAATATTACAACAATGTCAAAGTGTCTTTTACATTATTTACATAATATAAGGTTGGCAAGCTATAGGCCTATTTTAAACACTTTAAATCTTATCTAAGCATCAACAGTTGGCTCATAAAAAAATAATTTTTGACTGGAAACAAAAGACTAATATAGTTATAAAATCTAATGGATCATTTAATCTTAATAGATTTGAATACTATGGGCCTATAACATCTTAACTTAAAATGCTGTTCTGGAAAAGATACGTGTGTCCAAATTTTAAAATAACCAAATTTATGTTTGCCAATGACGATGACATTTTCTGCATCTTTGTTATTAAATATTCTTATTAATCAGTAAATAACTAACTAACCGTAGATTAATTTCATGTTTCATATCAAATAATCGATGATTTACAGAATGTCAAAACTCAACAGTAAATGTATACTTTTAAAATAACAGAAGAAAAGAGTGCGTCCACTTTCAGATCTTTTCTCAGCGACTACACACAAAACTGAACAGCACTTTAAAGACTCAGTGCGCATGCTCATCCCCTCTGCGCGGTAAAATAATGGCGACCGATTGAAAGGTGAGAAAAGCGAATAAACAATTGATTATTTCGATATTTTAATATTAGTCTATTGCAATAGGTTTAGGATGTCAATTTTAACATAATATGCTCCTAATTGTTCATGTACTCATTAGATAAACATGTTTGTGAAAGTCGAGATATTTCAATTCTACTGATCACTGTTTGGTCGAGTAGCTGTCCGATTGGTGTTTTTCTAGGGCCTCTGCAACGAAGCTAGCGTGGCCTACCGAATACAAGTTTTAAACAAAGTGTGTTTACGGTGTGGAGTGTTAACATTACCTGCTCGACTGTTGATCGAACACTTTTTTTTTATAGAAAGGTATTAAAGACTTAAATTCATTTTGTAATTAATTAATTAATTGCCCCAAGTAATTTTCCACCTTTGACAATTAAGCCTAGCCGTCCTAATTGTAATAGTATTGCTGTATGTATGTAGTGTGTTCTTTTTGGACAATAAAATCTGAAATGAATTGGTATTCTTTGATTGATGAAATTGATGGAATGATGTGATTGATAATAATATAGGCCTAGGCCTATTTTTTGTTTTTATCTGTTTTGTACTGACATAGTGTTTATACCGTACACATCAAATGAACACCTCTCTAATAAGCGCAGTACTAAAAATTTTTTTTTTTCTCTATGTTTTACTAGCGTTGCTTTTTAACAGGGATGTGCGATAATCGCTGTAATGCTTAACCAGCTTAATATTTATTTTGAATTAAACATTTCCCAGCCTCCATAACAGTTAGTTAAATACAGACGTTCTAGCCCCTGGATGGAACTCAAATTCGGTAGAGGCAGGGGTGCTCTGATGAAGTGCGCCCTCACCCCACTCAGAAAGCCATTGTACGCTGACCTCGTTTATAAAGTCGGTGCACAATAGAAAAATTGACACAGAAATGCTCATTTATTGGTACCAAAAAGCCACCAACTTGGCTCTTTTTGGTATTAGAATGGTTTTTTTTTTTAATTCGTGAGTTTTCACAAAATTCAGGAGTCCGGGAGATTGCATTAAAATTTGGAATTCACCCTATCGAATCGGAATGGTTGGAACGCATGCTGTTACACTTTGTTTTGTTTTTTTGGAGAACCAAAATGCTTATTTCCAGCTAAATAACCAATTTCAAAAGTTGCTGCAGCGATTGTGTTGTCATTCTGATGTGACCTAACCGCAACGTTCATGAATGTTACAATAATGTGTTCACTATACTTATACGAATGTGTTTGGATGTTTTGTTTTGACAAACAACCAATTTCTCACAAAATTAATAAAAATGATAAGGTACTAAGTTTGTTGTAGATAAGTCTATGATGATGCTCAGTAAAAATGAATTAATTAAAGAAAAAAAAAACAACTAACTTTTAACTTGCTTAGTTCTCTAAAGTGTCACTTCTCTCATACGTGGCGTGCTAACAATTAATACAAGATCTCTGAAGTTCTCAAAATATTACGAACACCACTGTGCTAATTTGGTTATTTACAGCTTGTTTTTAATTCTCTAATATCTAAAAAAGATATTACTATAATAGTATATTCAACATATCATACTAATGAAATTTGAGAAGTTTACTATAAGTTTAGTTTTATATGTTTTATATGTTGTAGGCAATGTTTGTTGTACAGCATTCAAATCAGATTCATGTGTATACTGCATTGTTAGATTACAACCTTCGATGAACACCAGATACATAAACAACTATAACTGATGATAACTAGTGTTGTGAGATACTATGAAATTTAATTTTATACAAAAAGTCAAGGGGAAACTCTTGTGAAAAAAAAACTGATTGTCAATCAAGAGATTTAAACCCAGTAACTTCCGTATTGGTACCAACTGTGTTATGATGCCAAAGTGGGTCCTTGGATTTTCACACCAAAAACTGCAAAAAAACCTGACACACATGGCTGAGCGTTGAATTTGAAGAACAAAAACACAGTTTTATTCCTTGTTCTGGGATCATACTGTAGGCTGTAGAATATGGTTTGAACTTGCAAGCAAGGTGACGAGAGCCCAATTGACAGCCACTTTGGAAACACTGTACCGGTAGGTCCAAATGGTCCAGAATTGGGGAACAAAGCTTGTTCCCGAATTACATAAACTTGTGCAGATGAACGACAATAAATCGGGAAAGACAAACACGGGGCGTCATGATTGAAAGTCATAAAACAAACTTGAGGATATTGATAGTTCTAAAATGCTTACACGAGGGCAGATGGAAACCTGTAGGTCATATTAACTTAAAACTTTTTAAACTCAGAAGCAGCACTACAAAACATGCAGCTTTTTTTGATTCCTAATTGTTTAATACATGGAATTCACATCCTTCACACATAGTCAATAATAGTACATCTCATTTTTCAAGTCAAATTATGACAATCACATTACTTAACTTCAGAGAGGGGGAAGCCTCTACAAGTTTTATATTCTTTGCCTCCTTAAAATCACTAAGGTAGGAATCATTAAGGTAAGGCATTAAAAAAAACTCATAAAATATTAAAATGCAACCATGTGTCAAGTTACTGATATAACGTACACTTAGTTTCAGATTATTGTTTTGCACAACACAAATATCAGTTACATGAAAATGAAACATTCTGGATACTAAACTAAAGTCTATGTGGGTCTACACACAAAGCCAAAGTGTGTGTAATGTTTGTGTGCAAGAACTATTTGCTTTACATAATAAATATAACAGTTTTCAGGGAAATGTGACTGTTTGGCTGCATACAAAGAATTATTTAGTCATTAATAATTTAATAATTTTACTATTCTTAAATCATCAGAAGTTAGGTTATATGGCCATCCCGAGGTAAAACAACGTAACTCACATTTTCGTTGATTTTGAGTTGAGATAATATCATTTGGGACTATATTAAACACTTATGAATTACCTGTGAAAATTTCAGGTCTCAACAATGAGTAGTTTTGGAGATAGCACCACCTATCTTTAAGAACAAAACTTCTAGTTTCTAGCGATTTTTTGTCATAAAAGGGTTTTGTTAATGTTTGAGGAAGGTTGGAGGAATGTTTGAGGAAGGTTGGTTATAAAGCATTTTTAGAATGAACTAGATTTCTTGTGTTACATTTTCTTTTATGTCTGAGTAACACTACAGGTGTATTCACTGTTGTAGCACCAATTTGGCATTGTGATTCAGTATACTATCGTGGATAGAACTTCAATGAAATTGATGACATCTGACGATTTCCTGCCTAATATAATCACTGTTTTCACCCAAAGAATTTGGAATGTTACTGGTTTTTATGTTCATGATGCACGCACAAAGTTATATCTTTGTTAATCAAGCCATTTGTCTGAAAATACCATTAAATTACTATCTTTATTTAGTCTATAAAAAATATTTTGATTTGGAAAAAAAAAAAATTAACATTGGTCATTCTGTGTTTTCAAGTAGTGTTACTTATAGTTGGTAAATTCAACTAAATAAACTAGGCCTTATAAATTTCATATTTGGAAAATTGGAATTCTCTAAAGAATTACATTTTTGCTGTAGTTGATCATAAATTTGGCTTCATGAAGATATTGTACAGTACTATACTGTATGTTTTGAGATTTGAATATTTAGATTATGACCAAGGTCAGTTGATCGAAAAGGTCAAGATCATTGCCATTATACTGAGCTGTTCATAGCATCAAGGGGCAACTGACTCGGCAAGTTCAATTTCTAGGCCTAGGTGTTTTTGCTAAGTAAAGCCTAATTCCTCCATGGTAAAGCTAGCATGATATTGAAGAGCCCTCTATAGTTCATGGGTACAAAGGTCAGAACAATGCAGCTCCTTTCATAAACTGTACACAATTGTATGGTGAATGGTTTTGAATTGTAATGTAAGGTTTAGGAATGTTGTACCATAAATATATGTGGGAGAATATCTTGTAGAGTATTGTAATAGATTTTAAACAATATTTTCAAACAATATTTTTTTAAGAACTTCTACAAATAGTATTTTGATCTTCCAAAAAAAAATATTATAATTCCCAAAATATCTTACTGTGATTTTTTTTAATATGCTTAAATATTATGTTAAGTTGTAATATATAAAGTTGTAAGTTCAATTACCGTAGAAGGTCTCTATTATATTAGTTTATATTTCTCATTAGTGTTGTTGAATTTACAACCACTTAACAAAAATGTTTAGTGTAATTCAACACAAAATCTTAATTTAATTCTATTGGGAGACCATTAATATTTTCTTAACAATAAGGATGTTAAATTCAATCGGATTTCATAAGACCATACTGTACTAACATGTACTAAACAGTGAATTTAACTTTAACATTATGTTCAACTAAATTTTTTTACAGTTTTACTAGGTATCCTATTACCATGAATATTTATATAATACATAAAACGCTTATTTGTTTACCTCGATATCCATTGATAAAAATATTGAACATAAAATATATTACACAATACAATCAACATACATTAAACACCAGTTTATATTTATCTTAAAAGCTAAAAATAAATAACAATCACTGTTGTGTTGTTCAGAAGATTTTGTGTACAGCATATAATGGGCACATGAGTGTGGTGTATAGAATATTCCCTGTAGTAGACAATCTGATTAATACCACTTCAACACAGTTATTTATTGAAAGACGTTTTGGTCATTTGGAATAGAAACCAGGACAGAATTCCATAGATTATGTATTCTTAACATTGTTGATAATATTTTTGAGTAAAAATATGTTTATTTCCTTGTTAAAGCCAGGCTCTGGAGGGAAAGAAAGTGTTGGTATATTGTAGAACTAAGATGAAAAAAAGGTATATTTGGCGAAAAACTCAGAAGCGGCCAATGAGATACATACTTTTGAATATTTAAAAACTGAGGCAAAGGTGGGACAAAGGGTAGTTACACCCCTTTTCCTCCAGTTTTTAAATATTAAAAAAAAATCTGTATCTCATTAACCACTAAGGAGTTTCTCGTCAAATATGCTTTTTGCATCATAGAAAAATCAGTTCAACAACATGTAAAAAAAAAAAAAAAAAATTGGTCCTCTCGAGCCTGACTTTAACTAGATACATGAATTCTGCTTGAGTGCAGTATTCATCTTTTGATATTCATTTCCAATTCAACTTTTTCGACTTTTGTAATTCCTTAATGTTTCTAGATATTGTGGTTGCACATTTAATTAATGATCATATTAATAGATGGCAGATCTTTTGCTATCAAAGATAATATTGAATTTTCACTCTTAGTCTCATAGCCCCAAAGGATGTTTCATGTTTATTTTAGTGCAACAATAATTTTTTATTAAGCCAACATTTCTGCTGGAAATTAGGTGAATATGAATAATTTAACAAAATTAAATATTTTTTTTTTTTTTTTTTTTGCAATAATAAAAAATATTCATTACAGTGCAATAGCACCCTGTAATACCTTGTTAACAATGATTGTCATTGATTGTATACGAATACTTAGACTATAAATCAAATTGAGGACATTTGGGCCAATGCTTGCTTACTTGTAAGCTTCAAACTGTGGTCTAGCTTCCTGTGGTAATCAGTAATTTGAAATTTTGAGTGGTTTGTCTACTTTGCAGTGGAATTGCCCTAAAGACAAAATTAAATTTGAAATTAAATGGAAAGGTTCTTTGAAATACGAAGTTCTAGTAAAAATGCATACTAAATAAATTTTCTTTGTTGACCCTGCCATGTTGACCCTGCATTTAACTCTTTCAGATATGTTCAACTTCATATAACAGTTTTTGTACAGTATATTTTTAAAAGGTTACAATTATTTGTTAATTTATATTATTTTAGGAGTTGTTCATTATAAACAGTTTAAATTTTAATTATTAGATTTGATTGAAAGGCTTTGTATTACAAAAATACAAATTAAATGAGAAAAACATGCATAACACGGCACACTAAAATAATCAATGATATTGACAGACTGAAAAATGGATTTTGTTCACACTGTACTTCCTGCATGAATGCCTTTGTTTGCGCCACATGGGTAGGGGACCAGGATTGTGCCAGGGCAGAGGCAAATGGTTGACCCTTTGGCAACATAGCATTTTTTTTTCTACCACACCTTAAAATAATATTAATATATTATGTTAAATCATAGTGCTTTTGGTTTTATAGTTTGGTGTAAAGTGCATTTAGCTGGAATTGCACAATATGCACTATCAAAATGTAGACCTGGGCTGGAATTTATTATGCTAGAGTGGAGTTGAATAGCTTGGTGGTTAAGATGCTTGTCTTCCAATTCCAAGGTCCTTGGTTCAATTCCTGTCAGTGTTGAAGAATTTTTCCTCATGACCAAAAACAAATGCATTCTCCAAACCTCATATTGAGATTTAATTTGTGTAAAGTGTATTTGTATAAAGTATGTGTGTGTGTGTATATGTTTGTCTTGTGCAAGGGATTGTCACATAGTAATCCTTGGTGTATGTTTTTTGTGCCTATATAAATAAATAATTATAATAATAAAGAAATTAAAAATTTAAATAAAAAAAAAAGTTAATTATTATTAATGTGCCCTTTTTGTCAGTTAACAAGTTTTGTCACTTTGACAGGTAAGGAATTTTACTCTTTGAATAGGTATTTTTGTCTACTTTGAACTCACATTATTTGTTAACACTGCCATATGTTTTAGCACCATACATTATTTTTATTGTTACCACTATTCTTATTTTTATTATACCAATTTGAATGTCACCTAAGTGTATGGAATGTCACCTTTTTGTGTGATTAACCAGCTGTGTATTAGTACACCCTTTGGTTTTATGTCTCAATCATTGTCCCTGTATATGAACTCATGATGGGTTAAATCAGGGGGGGGGGGGCGTAAAAATAAGTTGAGGGCCACACTGAACTCTTGAATCAACACCAAGAGCCATAAGTAGAACTGATGATGAAAATTTGATATTTACAATGTATTTGAAATTATACACTTTATACCACTTTTTAGGCTCACATTTAACATTACTTTTTACATTATGTTGAGTGTCTGGCCATAAATAAGAAGGTGTTGTCCAGCCAAAGATAGTACTGTAGGCGGGCCACACCCTTTATGTTTTTACTTTACTTGTGCAGGCCATAACTAATTTGCATTGAGGCTTCCTGCCTGTGTGTTATATTTTTCCAATGTTTTGTCAAAATACAGTGGGAAAGCATCTTATATGGTATCTTTCAATTAAAAATACTTCATTCTTCAATAATAAACAGTTGACTATGTTTGACAATCACACCAACATTTTCTATAAATGAGGCATGTTGTGGCAAAATGGCTAAGTTGTAGCAAAAATTAAAATTCAAGTTATTGGTATTTTCAGATACCTAAGAATGTGATCTTTAAAATGAGGGGGTCATTCATTGAAATTGGTCATTTCAATCCTAAGTTATTGGAAAGTACAGCACTATTAGAGTCAAGATAAACATGATTTTGAGTAATAGCCTTCCAAAGTAATTTGTGCATACATTGTTTGATAGAATTAACTATCTAAATAACATTAAATAAATGATTTGTTGACCACGTCCAGAACTAATACTTTGGGACATGATTAATAAGACAAAACTGTTGATCTATAGTGAAAAAAAAAATTTGGATTTTTAGGCAATTTTTTGAGCTCCCATATTTTATAGCTCATTTACTCAATACTAGCCTGTGCGACAACTTAACCATTTTGCCACGACATGCCTCAAACGATCATCATATAAAATGTTAAGATTCATACACTATTGTACAGTAATAATGCTTTTCAAACAAAATATTATCATTCAAAATAATGAATTTATATACAGTATGTTAAAACTGACAGTAGAAAATTCTCTATGTTTATATTTACTACCAAAGGCACATACGATGAAGAAGTGCAGTACTGTATGAATAATTCAATACTTAAACTAGGTACAGTACTCTCATGCATATTGCTAGAGTTTTACGCATGAGCATCGGTGTTTTACGTCTCCCATCTACGTTGTATTATCTCGCACATCAATAAAATGTATAAAGTAGGCCGATTATACCCTAAAATTCATAAAAATATCATGTGAATTCTTAATTAAAATGTGGATACAAGCCATATTATTTATTTTAACAAACTATATCGACCAACTGTAACCTGTAGCAGTTCCACCGCTACAACAAAAAAAAAAAAACCTAGTTTGTGATTTTTACATAGTGGGCTCTACCATACAAATTTTTTTTTTTGTCTCGCACATTGGACTCCAACAAAGTTGGCAGGTATAGTGGAGTAACACCTCCATTTTAAGAATATTGTATCTTCACATCTTTGTTCGGTTAAGGCCAACTCAGATAGCGTTGTATGATGCAATATTATAGGTCTGTTTCGGGGACAGTCACATAAAATATTAAACATGCTATATTCTAACAATGGCCTAAAGACTCCAAACAATGAATCATGTCGTGCTGCATCGTATGTCACCATCTGAGTTTGCCTTTATTGAGACCTTTTATTATTTGATTATTTAATATTATATCGCATTGCTACAGTACACATCAGCGTAGATTTTATACAATAATTATAAAAGAATGAAATACTGTATAAATACATTTTTCAATCAGCCACTACATTACACATACTTTAACAAAATATAGTTCTTAGGCTACTATGGTTACGGGGAACTATCAACTTGTACTGGTATTTAACATATAGTTGTTCATGTTGACCAGGCTCTGTCTAGGTAATTCTTACAGAAGTTGCCAAATATAATTTCAATATTATCTTTCATTAAATGATGTGAATAATTAATAAATATTGCCAAGTTTGATGTTTCCTGGTATAAAAAATTCACAAACATCATCTACAGTATATAGGTTCATTCATAAGCTTTTTTTTCAATTCCTCAGACCTTTTGAATCCACTTTTTGGCAATGTGTTTGATCTAGTCTAGAATTTTAAACTACTAACAATAAAATCATCAGCATCTAAAAAGTATTTTTAAACAACTAACAATAAAGTCATTGGCATCTAATAAGTATTTTTTAAACTACTAACAATAATGTCAATGGCATCTAATAAGTATTTTTCTAAACTGGCAATTAAGAGATGATTTTAAAATTCCATTGACTGAAAAAGTTATTTTGTATACATTTTATTCTGCTTTAGTTTAGCTGTTAAGTTACAGTAATTTTATCTGCTATTTTTAAATCTCTTTTTTTCAGAATGTATGAAGTGTGACAAGAGTTTCTATATGGAATGTGAAGGAACATGGCAGAACTAGTACCTTCTAACATGTCGTGTGTACCATTGAAAAAAGAGAATACAGACAACAAACATTCTGAAAATTTTAGCAGCAGTACTTCAGGGTGCAGTGAAAACAATGTTAGTTGTCAGACATTAAATAAATGTCTAAAAGATGCTTCGGAGAAGATTATTGCCATTCAGAATAACATTCAACCAGCATCAGAAATATCTCCATCACTGAGCCAAGATTTTGGAGTTGCAGACAAAAAATCAGTGCCTATTTTGGATCATGGTAAAGAAAAAAGAGTTTTACAGAAAGCCACTCTGAATTCAATTGAGGTACCTCATGACAAGAAGAACAAGGAGGCAATTAATGCTAATTGTAGTAACAGTACTGGAGATGTAAGTAGCTCCAAGACCCAGCAAGATTCAATACACCAACAGGCTCAGAGACTTTTGGTCAGAAATCACCCAGTAGCAAGTAATTCCTTTGCATCAAGTTCTATAAAAAGTGTCATAAAAGAGAACTCATGCAGTAGCTCAACTGAATCAAAGAGTGTTGATAGTTCTCCAAATCTACCTTCTGCTTCATTTGTTGAAAACAATTCTGCTTCTCAAAGCATGGATGGCTACAATTTCAGAAACAGATATAAAGAAAAAGAAAAATGTTCAAAGCAGAAGGAAAATGGAGACTTACCACTAGGCATTGAGGTTGCAGATGCTTACGAACAGCTTGTTCATGGGAAAGAGGGCTCACCAAAATCTGTCAATGTTGCAGCTAGAAAATTACTCTCAGAACACTCGGAATGTAGAGTTCCAGAGTATTTTCAAAAAACATTGAAAAAAGACAGGCCTGTGGAAAGTAGCCCTAAATTACCAATACCTCGGAGTGATTTTAGAGGGCCAGTGAATATCAGTCTTAAAGATAAAGACTACATGAAGAATACTGTAAAACCAACTGTTGCACCATGTACTCAATTCTTAAGAGAAGTCACTATGGACTACAATGTTCTAAGTAATGCACCTGCATCTGTAGTGACAATAAATAAAGATGGAACTGAGCAAGAATCTGTTTCAGGACAAAAAGGTAATGGGAAAAAGTCTCAAACAAAAGCATGTATAACTGAAATTGAGAAGAATTTCAGTGCATTAGCAGATACCGAAGATGCACCTCCAGTTCTGACTTCATCGTCAGTCGAGAAACTAAAGAAAGTACCAGAGCCTGTTAAACCTCATCAAACAGCCCGGAAAAGCTGTGCTTTTGGTATTTCTAAGAAGGCAAGTACTCGTAAAAGTATCAGCAGCGTCTCTGATAAAAAGGAACCTAAATTGGAGAAAGTAAACTCCATGGAAGTTGTTAGTGAATCAAAAACTGTTTTGAATCCTGTGTTGTATGCAAAAAGTGGTAAACCTCACAGTTCAAATGATTCTAAGTATTCCGATAAAGATTCAGATATTTCTGGAAAGGAAGATACACATACACCACCGTCGGGCTTTAAATTAACTGCTCGTAAAACATTACCGAAAACCCAATCTCCTCGTCTTAAAAATAGTAAGCTTCATAGTTCAAATGATTCTAAGAATTCCGATAAAAATTCAGATATTTCTGGTAAGGAAGATACACATACACCACCATCAGGCATCAAATTAACTGCTCGTAAAACATTACCAAAAACCCCATCTCCTCGTCTTCATCATAATTACTTTAAAGCCAGAAAATCGGTTCCCTCTTCATTTAAGAAGAAACTGGCAAATGATGAACCAAAGACCTACAAGATGGCTGAATTCACTCTAAAATCTGCATCACAAAAATCAAGTAAACCTGTTCAAAATGGTGCATGTTTAGTAGCTAATAGTACAACAGCTTCCACCCCAAGACTAACAGTATCTGCCTTGTGTAACAAAAATACATTGTCGGGCAATATTACATCAAAAACAATTATGGTGTCACAAGTTCCTGGAAAAGCACAACAAACTTTTGTTCTCAATACTCTGCCAGTGTCGACAGAAGTTAAGAATGAAACAATAAAAGGTAGTTGCTTGCATGCTGCATCTACACAATTATTGCCAAAATCTACTAGAAATGGTTTGGTTACAAACTATGTTCTGTTTCCTATCTCAACACAAAAAGATTGTCAGAAGAACACATCATCTGCAAGAGTGTCAGCCAAGTTACAGGATCCAGCAGTCGTTTCAACTCAAGAAAATCAACTACATTTATCTGAAAGAAGTGATATAAGTGTACAGAAAAACAGTTTAGTTGGCAAGCAGAAAATGTCTGTTAAACCAGCAAACAATGTGTTAAAAAAAAATTCAAGAAAGGGAGTTGACATCAGAAGGGGCAAAAGAAAACGCAAGGCACCTCGTAGATTTCAGTCAAGTCAATCAAGCGATGACGAAAGTCCACAGGTTTCAAGGAAGAGGCGGTTAGTAAATCGCAGGAGAGGTACTATAAATAGGATAAATTCTACTCAAGGAAGAAAATCTACTAGAGCTAAGGCATTGCGATGTAAACTATTATTTAAAAATAAGAATATTGACAAGATTCATGATAAACAAAAGCTTAACCATGAACAAGAAAATTTGTTGGCTGAAAACACAGACTCAAAGCTGATTCCACCACCAAAATCTAACCAACAACTGAAATGTGTCAAATCTTCTAAAGCAAATCTTCTCATCCCTGCTGAAATAGTAAAAGGAAGAACAGTAAATGAACTGCTAACTATAGTTGAGTCCAATAGTTCTTTAAAAAATGGAGAACGACCTCTCAGCATATTGCTTTCAGCCTCTTCAGCAGTTACTAACCTCTTAAGTCCAACTAGTACGTATTCTCAAAGGCACCTCCAACTACAGTCGGTGGCGCCTATACTTCTGCCAGTTACTACATCAGTTACATCTGATAAGGTGTGTCTTCTTCGTAACACTGACAATATTACCAAGACTGCTGTTAAAGATACATTAGTTGATAAACTGGTTCCTAGCGAAAAAGTCAGTGAAAACCCTGAAATAATTGTGAAGTCCGTGTCAGACACCAAATCACATGAACATGCAGGATCAGTAGTGAGCTCAAATGTAAATACTGTCACTTATCAATCATCACAAGGAAAAAGCTCAACATCAGTTGTCAATCAAACTAAAAATCATTCAGATAGCAAATCTAGTGAACAAAAGTCAAGTCCAAATGTTGAAAATATATGTTCTGAGAAGAGCATAGAGAATATTGTAGAGATCCAGAACCTTAAAAGTAATCCCACTACTAAAAATACAAACGATATTTTAATGCAAAAGGAACATGTAAAAGAAAGAACTGGTGTATCTTCTAAACAACCGGATAGCACATACTCTAATTTATCTACCATAAAACAAGAAGTTGTTCGGGGAAATCATACTGATTTGGCCAGCAGTAATTTTGACATACAATCTACAAGTAATTCACCTTGCACTGGTACTGACACTGTTAAACCTAATGCACCTGCATTTGCTGAATCTATGCTTATTTCAAGTGATTCCATTTCTGACCAAGAGAAAAGTAATCGAAGGATCCCAGAAAATAATAAAGAATCTAATTCTCCGCAGAATAGTCATGAGAACAATGCTGCAGAAACATCTGTTAATTGTGTGGTATCCAGTAACACAATTGAAAATAAAGGTGGGATTAATGGTTCTCTGGAGGTTGTCTCAGAGGTGTCAGGCTGTGAGAATAATGTCAAAGAGAAGTGCATCACAGTCAATCCCTCAGAAGAGATTATAGAAAACTATATTGAACTGAATAATTCAGATGATATTAAGAATAATGATGTTACCGAGAATGTTGTTGCAAATGACAATATGCTAGTAGATTTAAATGAAGGCATCTCAAAACCTGTAAAAGACAATGCTTCTGCTGAAGATGCCTTCAAAATTGAACCTTCATCAGAATGTGAGCTTCGAAAGAGTGATGTTCCAGAAGGGGGTTTAAGGAAAAAATTGTACTACAAACAGAGAAGGAAACGCAAGTTAAGTAGCCTGACGCATGCCCATTTGATGAGAAGAAAAAAGAATAAAAAACAAAGACTAAATTTGGAAGCTATGGAATCTGGTAAATAGGTTTTTTTTTTTTTAAATTTATTTGTAGCTATAGTTACATAATTGAGTATTCTTCTGTCAATTGTTGAATCTTGATACAAATAGATTTGAATGCAAGTCTATAGAGACAATACTGTACTTGATTTGAACATTGTTTTTTCAAGGATAATTTTTTTTTAGTATCATCCTTAACAGGAGGTTTCCGGTTTGTAAATTACAAGTTAAAGCACTTGGCAAAAAAAAAAAAACAATTTAAGATTGAATTCTAATAACTTCTGCCACGCTAATTTTAATATCAATTCCATGGGTGATTTGTGACTAGTGTAACATACATATATGTATTTTTTCTGGGATATATATATAAATCCGAGATAAATATGTATATAAAAATAAGTGTGTCCAAATACGCCTGTACCTTTTTGGTCGTGTGACATTCCCTAACATGGAATTTTTATGTATTTAGATCAAAGTGAGAATGCAAGCGAGGTTTCTGGTGACTTCTCACCCAGTCTAGCTTCTAGTAGTCGCTCTAATAGTGTATCAACTTTGGGTAGTCTAGATGACTACAAAAGCTCAAATGGTAAGTTGTAATCTTAACTGCATTTCTTCTCATGCTAATGATACAAAGGCCTACGTGGGGTTATGTTTGTTTTACTGTTTTACAATTTATCAAAATGGTTTTTTTTTTGTTTTAAAGGAAATTTTTTTTTTTTAGACCAAAGAATTGCATCCATTCCTGACTTGCCAGCCAGAGCCCCTACCCCCACCAATTCCATTTCAATAAGAACAATATTCAAAACTTTGTTGACAGGTCTGTAGTTGAGGAGTTGAAGTGTTGACACAGATAGGATTTTCTTGGTACCTTTCTTCTTGTTTTTGAACTTGAAGTGTTTGTTTAGATTGAAGCTGTTTTTTTAAAATGAAAGCTAGGATGAGATAGTATAATACATACTTTAAGTGTCTGGAATCCTGACACGATGGCGTGCATTTCGATACTTGGAGTGTGTATTATTATACTATCTTATCTGAGATTAATCAGTGAACCTTTAGAGCTAGGATGTTTCTGCAATGCTGTATCACATTGTATATTCATATTTAGAAATATTGGCCATAGACTTTTTTTTTTTATAAAATTGAATATTTTTTTCCCCATCAAATAGTAATATGTATTCAGTAATCGCATACTTATGTACCACTGTCCTTAGCCTTGGGTCTTCCAACCGGCTTGGGGTCAGCAGTTTCCTTCAGTAGGGTCAATAATTGATCAAACAGTCGGCAAGGGTGTCAGTGAAATGTATGGGGTGAATAACACAAAGTGGTTTTGGAAATCTGAAAACCATTTCTGTGTAATTTTAATTAAGAACATCAGGAAGGCATTAGAAATTTGTATGAGAGTGCCATTTCTGCGCATCTAGAGGTTCCATACTTAAGGTTTGCTCACATCATTCCTAACTACGATAATAATTTATTTTGGGTGGGGCTGAGGTGAGCAAATATATGTTGAATCATATTAAGATTTTAGAAGTATGAGAGTTGATTTCCAGCCATTTGGAATTTGCATATTCTTAAAATTTGTTCACCTTGGGCCTGAAGTTAACATGTACTGGCACCAAGTTTTGCACATGCCAAAATACATAATGACCTAATTGATTACACTGTACATTTTTTTCTTTGTTCGATTTGTTGCAATAATTTGTTGGAATTATTATGACAAATCAAGAACCCTATGTTTTACCTTCCTGTTGGGGGTCGGAAACACTCATTATTTACAAAGTTCGGGAGTCAGTGGACCAAAAATGGTTAAGAACCTAGGCCTTGATAAGTCCTGAACACCAGCCTCATTACATTTTATTTCTAGACTTTACTATGCTATGTGTTTCTTTTGTCTACGTATCCATTAATATTAATTATTATTAAATAATACTTTTAATTAGGTACTGGAAATGCCACAAGAAAGAAAGATCTAAAGGTAATTTTATTATTTTATGAGTAATATTCAAATATAGTTAATTTTTATATAGTCCTTTTCATGACCAATCATTCTCAAAGACACTTAACAATGTGAAAATAATGTACATATTTAAAAATTACAATTGTGTATAACATTAAAATAATTCATTGATAAAATATAAATTTAACAAGAAGAAATTGCCTTAAACTACCCGAATATAATGTAAAAAATAAAAGAAATGATAAAAAAGGAAATAATAGAAATATAAAAAAAAGCTCTAATTATAAAATATATTGTGATTATTTTTTATTAATATTTTTATTTATTAATGGTTATTAATTCCTGCAAAAATAATAACAGTAAAATTTAGTCAAAATATTTCATTAATTTTACAATACAAATTTTCAAATTTGTCTTTTATATAGCCTGCATACAAGACACAAAATGACTTTATTTGAAATTTAAGGAGAATTTGAAGTGTACAGAATAATTTTAAGTAATAATATTAACAATGTTTAAAATATTTAAAATACACCAGTAAAATAAGTTAAAATAAGAAATCTGGAACACATTACATACAAAGGAAAATGTACAAAAATTGAAATAATATGAAGAGAGAGAGAGAGAGAGAGAGAAAAAAAAAAGGAAACCCTCCTCATCAAAATTGGTGAGACAGCTAAAGCCACTTTATCAGCCCCACTACCTAGGATGCTCCATCTGTGCAGGTGCCAAGCAGACTGGCAATAGGCAGACAGCAGGCTGTTAGAAAAGAATTCTATTCCCTCTCCCCCGGATCCAGTGTTTCCATGAGATGCGCGCATGCGTATCGACGATCATCAGCCGTACGTGTTTTTCGACGATCGACGTACTTTCGAATCAGTCTAGGGTCTAGGCCTATTTCTTCCAGTTAACAGTTTGTATATTTTTCAGTATAAAGTCATGTCACTGTCAGAGGACAATGATGAGAATAACGGGGACTTGATTGGTCCCATTTTGGGAGGTATGAATACGCTAGCTAGTACCTCAAAAGTCAGTAGCGAGCCTAGGCCTGGAATTTTGGCTAGGTCTAAGCCTGCGACGACCGCATGCGCCGTTGACCCGAAGTGTAACCACTGTGATCCGGAGGAGAGAGGAATAGAATTTCTATCAAATTTCAACTTACAGGTAAGTCTCATTTAATTATTCAATTTTGCACGAGAATCTGAAAATGGCACAGAGATCAGTGTTTACAAAGCTGTCATTTATAAGCACCACCTTTAGTGGTTCCATCAGATCTGCATCTGCGCATCAAACTCAACATCCACTGGAGTGACTTCATCTTGCATCCTGAAGTTCTCAATCTTGCGGAAATCATCAAAGACACAGCTTTGTTGTGCTGGAAGCCTCTTCACGATGGAGAATCATTGCTTGCTAAAGATGGCACTGTAGGGCAAACTCTCATCTTGGTCATTGGTAACTTAGAAGCACAAAAGGATCATCTAAAGAAGTTTCTAATTGTCGGTGGAGATGCACCATGTGCCAAGTTGTCTCGTCCTTTAAAAATGCACGCAGGTTTGCAGTTGATAAAAAAAAAGGAGAATGATCCATAAAATTGCAGCACAAATCGCAGAACAGACCTTCACTTGCAGCCACTGTGGCCATGCCTGCTTTTCTCAACACATTTAATGTTTAAATTCTAGGCTATATTATGTTGATTTGCAAATATTTTGGTTGTATTCCCAGGCCAAGCCTGCTATGTGTTGCTGTCAGATTGAGAGACAACCTAGTGGAACATACCCGGCCACATGTCAGGCTATTGAATATATCGATGGAGGGGTAAGAATATTTGAATAGAATTTAGAAACTCAATAGACAGTCCTGATAAAAATCATTAAAGTGTCCTGATTTTTCCAACGCAATTTTTAATACCTTTTGAAAGTGCTTTAAAAAAAAATTTATTTATATCAACAGCTACTATTGTGTGAAAAGGAAGCGGACAGTTCAGTTTTGTTTCAACCTTCTTTAGGAGTTGCTTCCAGAGTTCTTTGTAAAAGCCACAGGTATGTAGTATGTGCATGTGTAATGATAAGTTAATTTTGATTGGAGATTGAAGTGTTTTTTTAACCTGTAGATCTTTTCTCAAGTGGGGTAGAATATGGGTATGAGTAAAATTAGGTGAGAACTAGAATACCATATTTATTTGAATAAATGCCTCAGTGCATTTATTGTTGAGATGGGTTTCTTAGGGGTTGTTTATTCGAGGGAGGCATTAAATTTTTTTTTTGTGTAAAATTGATGCGTATATACTCGGATTACCGTCAAAATATTTTATTGTGTGATCATAAAAATGTGTTGATCTTCAGGTTAGAAAAACTGCTGGAGCAGAACAATAATAGAATGTGTTAAGATGATGTTGCTTCCATTAGATTTGTTTAGTTATATTGGGGGGTGTGGTGTGGGGTTATTCGAGAAATAAATAAACCCTACTGAGCATTTATTTGAGGGAGGTGTTTCAAATGAAGCTCTAGTGGGGACATTTATTTGAGAGGTATTATTCAAACCGTTTATTTGAATAAATAATGATAATTGGCCAATGTGAAGCAATAACAGTTAGACCATAGAAAACTTTGGCTTTTTTCTAATGGCCTTAACACAAAAATGTTTCCAAACAACTTAAAGTTATACATAATTTATTTTTATATATTTCATATTATTTACACGTTATACAGAATTTCAAATTTTAAAATAATTGGGAAAACTACTTAAGCTAATATAATTAAGATTTAAGTTCATTTAACATGGTGAGCAAATAAAAATAATCATCTCTCTTTCATTCATAGGAAGAAAGCGTCTGGCCACGGTTGGTGTCCTGGATGTGGTTGCTTCTGCTCAATGGTGCGTGAACTTGTTTTTGACTGACAGTATGGCGGTATTGCCAATCAATGTTAAATGAATAGCAAATTTATAAGTAAATATACTTAATTGCAAGAATATACAGATGTACTGTCCATGGAGTAGATGAGGTTGCACCATGTCAATTAAATTCAGGAAAAAAAACCCCTCAAAAATTCAATTAAAATTTTGAATAGCACATCCTGAAGGATTATTTAAGTTATTAACATTATTTCACTGATTGACAAACATTTTACAACAAAATGACTTAGAATTGATTAGTATTACCCTCCAAAAATGAATAACAAAAGGTATGTGCACAAAAAATACATGGAAAGGAAATGTGTTTGTTAATTGATGGGGAAATTGTTTTTCTCATTTGGATTTTGAATTGTAAATTTAATAACTTAAGTATGCAAATTAAACAATTCAATCAATGTATATTTAACTTAATAACTGTTTTTCATTAGGGAACGTTTATGGAGTGTCGTCGAGACCACACTCGTCACCACTTCCACAGTGAGTGCATTGGAGAGATCAGTGACATACTCTACTGCCCTCATTGTGGAGAGGATGCATCTCGAGCGCACAAAGTCACCAATGTGGTTCCAGAAGATCTTGCTTTGATCACTCCTGCAGAGCTGCAATCGAGATTTCACTTCAAATTACCCAGTGCATTATTAGAAACAGTCGATGACCATGAGGCTTCGCCCATGGATGAACAACAATATCAAAGTACTAATAAAAAGTAAGAAGGCAGCGAGTGGAAACTTCAATTTTTGAATATCATAAGTCACGCTTCACTTTGCACAACACGACTGCAGTCTATTCTACCGAAATAAATGACACGGTATACTCCATTGCGTACATAAACAGAGCATTGTTCATCAAATTTTTATTCATATTAAATCATTACCAATTTTAGAAATATACTATTCTGAAGATTCATATGTAATTTGGATATCCAAAATATGCAATATTATTCATTTTTCAGTTTTTCATGGGAGTTCAATTATGAAACAAATTTTGATGATACCTGCAAACAAGGCTAGCCTAGGTATCTGGCTGAAAAAAAGTTATCAAAATCTTTTTTTTAAGACAGGACGCTACTAAATAGAAACAGGAAGATGTAAGGCATATTCATGCCATCCTATCATATCAACTATGCTTCCTAAAGGCAGAACCATGACACAAAAAAATCAAAACTTGTCTTTGGTGTCTTTTCAATATGAGCAAATATTGCCTAAAATATTTTAAAACACATAACTTTTACTGCACTTGAAATTGTCCACCCCAATATATCTTTCAATTAATCTATTTAACTATTTACAGAAATTATTGTGTTTTTGTTTTTTTTATTTCAGGGCAAGAATGGGAGGAACACAAATGAATTTAAAGAGAGAATTTGAAGACAAACAACAAGATATTATGAACTGCTATTCTGTTAAATTAAAAAATGGAAACACGATAAACCCAGGTTAGATATCTGCAACATATCTAGTAAGCCACTTTCAAACAAAGCATTTTACGCAATATTGCGGGAATGTTGCTGGCATTTCCTTCTACTCTGTATGAAAAGGTCAGAACCAACCATAATTGCAATATTGGGTTTTGCACGGTGCTCCATCTCGTACCTAATAATATTATTGTCTGTTACTGTACATTTTGGCATGTGTCTGAAACTAACATTCCCGCAGTAGTAGCACAATATTACTTTATTCTATATGACAATTGGACAAATGTTGAGCGTAAGTGGAACAGAATTGTTAGGAGAATGTTAAATTTGGCAGATGTAGTGAGGGGGAAATTTGGCAATGGTCAGAATAAGTAGATTAGGAATAGTAAAACAATGATAGTATCGGCTCTTCTCTCTCAACACATTTACATGGTGTTATTTATATTTATATTGGTTGGTATGAAAGGGTGCATGGCGATAAGCATACTGGCATCATTGCCTTAATGTCTGTCTGTCTCAAAGTGGCTTTTTTAACAGATGTCCATTTTTGTGCACTAAAGACCATGCAAAATGTAACCATCAGTTATTAAAAATACTTTCAAAAATTTGGTTGCTTTTTGCATGGTGTATATTTATTGGGAAGTAACATGATCACTAGGTATTGCGATGGTGTATTGAAGCTTTTTTTTTATCATATTTTCTTGTAACACTTAATAAAACTCGACGCACTTATATTTTACAATCCAATAAGCAAGTTTCTGTTGAGCTACTACTGTGTGATTTGTATATTCGTTGTTTGTCTTAGGTTTGCTTCCACCTGGACCAACGAGAAAGACATTGACTACTGCTCTCAAGTGTATCAACACCTTCAAGTAAGTGTTGTGGTACATAATGTCAGACAATTTTAAAATAAAGTTAAAAAACAGTTTTTGCATGTACATCATGGCCTTTAAAATAATAATGACACAGTGACCTAATAGCTAAGAGCTCTCACTGACCTCACACTCTATATACATTTTCACCCAACATCGCCTGAGCAGGGCATTTTAAGGAGCAGAACATAAAAAAAAAATTCTATCAAAATACGCCTTTCAAACATCTAAATGTGAAATCATTCGAGACTTTGCCCTGTACACAACTGGCCTCTACCCAGACCTTACCCCAGCTAGAAGCCTTAGCTAGGGGCCTGAAGGTTGTAATGACAAGGTAGCAGCCATAAAATAATAGGCTAATAGTTGTTACATGATATATAATATGCAGTTAAACTTGCCTAAGTCGACTTTGAATAACTCAAATAATTTCCAAATTGAACTTATTTTACGTGCCAAGTTGTTGTTTTTCAATTATTTAACATCTGTAAGTCACATTTTATCTAAGTCGAAAAGTTTTTCAGTGGCATTAGGGATTCGACTTAAGCAAGTTCAATTGTATACAAAACAACGATAAGTATATTTGTAAGATATACGTAGACATAATGAATTCCCAATTCTAACCAACACTGGAAAATACATACAGGGGTAAGTTAATTTGACATTTGTGGCTGAGAGTTTTACAACTTTCAAGTTTCAAAAAAGTTTAAAAGTGTATGTTTTGGTTTTTTCTTAAAGATAGTTGTTGATTTTTGCTTTTTTAGATCAAGAAGACTTGGATTTTCACCGAAGAACCTTTATATACCAGCATTACAAGGAGATCTGATGAAAGTCATTGCCTTGTTAGGTACAGTTCAATGCACATAAACAAGTTTGTAATTAACTTCAAATTAATTAACCACGATTAATTAATTTGTAATTTTGCAAATAAGTTGTAAAAGTTAAGATTTGTAGAACTGTGTGTTTGTAAAAAGCACCTTTTACTGTGATAAAATAATTTAATGTTATTTTTTAACTTGAAAGTTGAGGGGTTTGACCCAAATCACCGCTTTCCCGAGCACAATCATGAAACGGCGATGCATGCTGCTGCCAACAGGGGTCATCTTGCGATCTTGTACATGTTACTGCAGGCCGGAGGAAACTGTAACACCAAGGATGAGGACACTCAGACACCGCTGATGTGCGCTGCATCCAGTCAGCAACTGGAATGCATCAGACATCTGGTTTCTCATGGTGCAGATGTTACTTGCAAGGTAAACTGATTTTTATGCATTCTGGCTTTTTAAAAACCCTTTTCCAAAGTAAGTGACCATTATAATACATAATTACATAATGGTCAGAACTTATGTTTAAATGTTACAATGTTTTCATGGCTAGTATGCAAATATTGTTTCAAACTTAATATTTTCAAGCAAATAATATTTTAAAGCAAAAGTTGATTTCCCTGGAAAGCTCAAACCAATAGGTTTTATCATCTTTTAAATTTAAATATTGTGAATCTTCACGATATCTTTTAGATGTATATTTGACTTGCTTTTGTAGGGTTGTTTCAAAATTAATATTTTAAAGCAAAATTTGATTTCCCTGGACAAACTCAGATCAATAGATCATATCATCTTTGAAATTTAAGTATTGTGTATATCTTCAAGATAACTTTTAGACATATATTTGACTTTTCATGTTTTTAAACTGAGGAATTTTTATTTTGGGTACTTCGCACACTTCTAATAAGCTCTCAAAGGTTGTGTAGTTTATGATAGAATAGTGCCTCTAAGCATATCAGAAATTATGATTATGCATCCGTATGATATCCTTATGATTGTCATTTGCATAGAAGGCACAGATCTGTCTTTTCCAGAGCATAGAGAATCTGTTACTTCTTTTCCTCCGAACCTGACCCCCTTCTCCTCATATAGTCAGATACATTTCCCAGCTAGGCCTGTTTGTCTTCTCCAGATATCCTCCCCATAGCAGCAACCTCCAAGAAAGGCTTTTGTAATTGCCCAAGATCTTCATTCTATTGTCTATTTTACGAGACACTGTCTCTAACAAAATAAGCAATGTTCTCTAGGACTTGCAATTTGGGTAATCTTTATTTGCCATTCCGTTTGACGAATGGATATCTCAGTAATCAGATTACTTTACAATTACAATACTATTCATTGTAGGATGATGAAGGTACTGCAGCCTTGCATATAGCAGCAAAAGATGGCTTCATAGAAGGTGTTCGCTACCTCACTTCAGTAGACGACACAGATATAAACATTCAGGTAAATGTATACAGTATGTAGACTGACGGTTGTCTTTGTATCACACATCATTATTAGAGATAAATACACACATGAGGATACTGATAACAATTTGTGTGAATGATGTTTGTCTTTGCAGGATGATGGTGGCTGGACTCCACTAGTCTGGGCAGCAGAGGCTAGACATGTTGATGTTGTTCAATATTTGCTTGAAAGGGGCTGTGATCCAAATATTAGGGATAAGGTAATGGACATGATACACATACTGCAAATAGAAATTTCTATTTATTTTGTATTACATATGCTTCTACTTAATCATAAAAAGTCTGATCAGCAACTGGATCAGAGTTGGGATAATAAGGCTTCCAATAATGTAATGCTTTTAATATGTACAGTGTCATAGTGTCTCTGGTGCAACTTAGGCAATTTAACAATACATTTTTATAAGACTATTAAACCTCAAATGTTGTGGATTAGATATTGGGCAAGCACTGTATATATTGATAGGATAAATTTTAGATGTATTCTTAGTATCACAATTCAACATATACTAAACAAATTCAAACATATTTTTTAGGAAACTATAATATATTTGAAACACATCTTGCGGCTTGTAAACTATTTATAAACTTAATGTGTACATGGCCTCTAATTGCAATAACCAAAGGCTTCTAGAAATTTAAAAAAAAATCTATTTTTATAATGCTACAAATATTCCCAGTACTTGCTAATATTATCGACTTTGGGCTTGTATTTAGGAAGGCAACTCAGGACTTCATTGGGCAGCCTATGCTGGGGCCCAGCAAATCATCAAACTCTTCATTGAAAGGAATTGTGATGTGAACGCTGTCAACCACAATGGAGACACACCACTGTAAGTGTGCTGCCCTCTATAGCTCATTTTGTTTCTCTCTGCATTTTATCATCATCCACCTTCATCTCATAACATGTGACACCTAAGTGTCCTTTCATAATTTTTGTCTTAATTTTTGTTAAAGATAATTTATTTATTAAAAAAATTAATCTATTAAATTATTGTAATTAGTAAACTAATTTTTTCTTTGTTATTAGACATATTGCTGCAAGAGAGGATAGATACGAAAGTGTTGTGTAAGTTACAAGATAAAATATATTTTGTATTATTCATTTAAAAGAATGGATAAAATATATATTGCATTGTTTATTTAAAAGAATGGATTTGTTTTATACTAAAGCACTTTATAATAATCGTACAAAATTTATTATAGTCGTAGGATAAATGATGGTTTCTTACACTTATCTACAACTGCTATTGTTGATGTGAATTTGTTTTCTTTATTCAAGTAACTAAATTCATTCATTATTCCAAACTAATTCATTCTTTTTTGTTTTCTGGTTTCTTTTTTTTTTTTTAACAACCATTTCTAACTCAACTACATTTATCACAACCACTTTTCCTATTAAGGCAAGACTTTTTTTTTATTATACGTTACTTAGCAAACCAGCCTCCTGCCCATAATAATGATTCTAATTGAAAAAATAAAAAATTTTCCCAGTTAGCGCACTCGTCACCACAAAAAATATAAATTAAAATTTTAATAAAATGTAAATTAATATTTAAAAAAAAATGTAAATTAATATAAAAAAAAAAAGCTAAATTCATCTCCTTGAATTCCCCCAAAATATGAAGTCTGTTATTCACATATATATTTTTTTTTACATTGTAACATTGTATTCTTTGTGATAGTGTGATAGGATCCCAAGCAAAAGGGCGCCCTCTTTTACATATTTTATCTTGCGCACCCGCATTTTTTATTCATCAATAAAAGTTTATTTTTATTTTCTACTTCACCTAGAATGCTTTTGGCAAAACATTTTGCTAAAAAAAGGAAACAATTTTTTTTTCTGCCCTCTGATGATCATATGAGGTCAAGAAGAGGAAAGGAATGAAGTGGATGGCAAATTTCTTTTTGTACGCCTATGTGATGTTCTTTAGCAAAAAGTGTATTGAACAGCAAGAGATCCGACTCTTGGAGTTTCGTTGAAACACAATCCTATTTCGAAAAGTACTATGGCAAAACTAGAAACTACCTTCAAAGGAGCATAAAAGGCATTTGTTTCCATTTATCCCAGTGGCTGTGATAATCATTATCTTTGTTGCTGTAGTCATTATCATTTTTAAAAATAAATATGTTTTCATTTTTAGAACACTGTTAATGCGAGAAGCAAATACACTTTTAAAGAACCGTGAAGAAGACACGCCACTCGATTGCTGCAATCCAAAATCTAATGTGTATCTTGCGCTACAAGTCAATCAAAAGCTGCGGCAAGCAGCCAGCCTACGGACTTTGCGGACAGAACGCATCTTGTCCAAGTAAGAATTTCATATGTTCAATGCATATCATTGTGTTTTTTTAAATCATTCTTTATTGCAAAAATATTATTATCTTCTGAAGTTTCCTCGGTTAATATCTGAAAAGGGTATTTCAACCAAAAAATTTAAATTCAGTTCCATATCTGGGTGATATTTCATAACTTATTTGATTCTTTTAAATGATTTATACATAATTTTTATTTAATTTTGTAGGTCTTCCCTGATTTTTTTTTTTTTTTATCAGACATCTTTAATTGGAGCTTGCCGTGCCAAAACTGGCATACTGACACTAAAGGTTAAACTGAAGAATTAGCATATGAATGTGTGCAATATTATATACTTTAGTACAGAGAAGCTGTAATATTTTACTTTGGCAATAGTCAGTTCCAGTAAGTGACCAATCATTTTAAAGCTTAAATATATCAAAAAGTCAATTTTCTTCTTTTAGTCACTAATACTGGTTTTGGCATGGCAAGCCCTAATTGGTTATACAGTCTACTTTAGTAACAGTAGATCAACTCTCATTAATTGTTTTTGGGGTATCTCACAAAGTCAGGAAGTGGGGCTAATTTAAGCCATGAATACTCTGGGGAGAAACAAGGATGTTTCCCACAACCAAACTATAAAGGGCGTCGAACAATCCACTTTAATGAAAGCACTCTCTTTTTGTTGTTATAACTCACTTTTAGGGATATATCACGTGGACGGGAAGCACGGCCAATTCAAGTTGTGAATGCGGTTGATGACTTCTCATTTCCAAAAGATTTCCTTTACGTGGCGCATAGTTGTGAGAAATCGTCACTAAACATAGATAGACGCATCATACATATGAAGGTACGTCGACTATTTAAATTATAATGTTTATATTATTGTTGCTTATGTATATGCTAATTATTGATTTGACTTTTCTGTCTCAGCTATGTTGCTGTTTGCAGGCCAAAGTCTACTTGATGCACCATCTAATGCAACTTTCATGATTTCCTGCAGGTATTAAATTTTGCTGAGTGTGTTAAAGATGGTTGCATGGTATTTAGCTACTTTCCCAGTAGCTGAAGTTGAATCTATCAGACTGCCTCTAAACGTTTTTTTTTTTTGTTTTTTTTTGTTTAAAAAACTTTGATTTGGCAGCGGAGCTAAATTGCATCAAATACACCAAAAAGACCTTACAAAAAATAAAGCAACAATACAATTCAATACATACAAAATAAAATAGCAGGATTAAAACTATCAAATAAATAATGAAAAGACACAAAATACATTGACTATAAAATATTGCCCAACAGACCAAGTAAAGGGAGAGAAATAGTTATTTTACAAAAATTATTGATAATTATTGAAAATTAAAAAAAAAAATGATTTATTGCACAAGAATTTAAAATTAACTTTCTGAACAGATAACAAGTGAAATTAGATTATTTATTATGAAATATTGCAAGTTGAAATTCATGTAAACTGTGAATTTAACTTAATTTGTGTAAATAATCTATCTTATTCTGTAGGGCTGCAATTGTGAAGATGACTGTTCTTTAGAAGAGTGTTTTTGTGCCCATAGCAGCTCCAAATGTTGGTACAACAAGGTGAGGTCAATTAATGTTTCTATTATTAGAGTTATTTTTCATTATTATTATATTTTTCATAAAGAAATGAAATCAATTTGAAACCCAGGTATTTATTTGAATTAGATTTCTTATGTCTGGAAAAAAAGTTTAACTTGCTGATAGCTTAGATTTTAATTGGCTGCAACATGTGGAATTATTTTTTTTTTATATTTACACTTTATTTTGAATTTAGGATGGGAAGCTTGTCGACGAGTTCAACTACCAAGATCCACCTTTAATATTTGAGTGTGGTCGAGCCTGTAGTTGCTGGACGACTTGTAAAAATCGTGTTGTTCAGCATGGAATCCGGTGTCATCTGCAACTCTTTAGAACCAATCAAATGGGCTGGGGCTTGAGGGCGCTTCAGAAGATTCCAAAGGGAACATTTGTATGCGAGTAAGTAGATGACTTCATTATTTTTCAAAATTGGAGGGAATTGATCACATTGAAGATTAATTAATGTAACAATAAGGAAACATTAGTACATAATTTTGAATACAATTATGTATCAATAAGAAGAAATTGCCAGGCATCTTAGCTAGGTACAATAAAATATCTACAAATTAAAACCCTAGCACTAATGTAATCTTATTATTATTATTATTGAACACCAAGGGTAACCCCAAAAAGTAAGAAGACTTACTTTGAGTGGGGTCCTCTGGTGGTGATTGGCAGTACAGCAGGAGACGACCTCCTTACTCTTTTCCAAAGAGTGTACTGTGTTCTTTAGCATGCACATGGACCATATTAAGAGTCTTCTTCTGGAAGACTTGCACTTCAACACTCCAGCAGATGAAATTAAACCAGGTATCAATAACAATGATCCCAATGGCTTGAAATGTAGTTCCTACGTGCTTTGTTTGAAAGCTTTGACTAAAGAAAGCCAAACCTTCCTGGATGTTTAGGAATCTAAGAATAGTTCAAGGCTCATTACCTCTGGAGAAAAGATTTAAATTTGTAAAGTGTATATTCATTTTTTAATGTATATAGTACAGACACAGATATACCTTGTCCAGATACATAATGCATCGTTGCACTAGAACATTAGTAAAATGAGATTAATGTCTTAATAAGGAGACATTAGTGTATCAATAAGAACACAGTAATTTATAAGGTGACATTTATGTATCTATAAGGAATTACGAATGTATCAATAATGAGACATTAATTTATCAATAATGAGACATTTATTTATCAAGAAGATATTAATGCATGAATTTGTAGATTAATTTAATTCTGTAATTTTTTTATTATTCAGGGTTTGGTGAGAATAAAAACAACGAATCTATAGTGTTTTTTTTTTTATAGGTATGCAGGTGAATTGATTTCAGATGCGGAAGCTGATAGAAGACAAGATGATTCCTACCTCTTTGATTTAGATAATAGAGTAAGCCAAAAAAAATTGTTGAATGATATTTATTGCTGATGGTCTGTCCGTCATCAGGATTAGGCAAAAACTAATGAATGGATCATAAAATTTAGTTGAGTGTTGCATCATGGAGGTATTAATTGAGAAGATCACTCGGCAACAGATCTCTTTGACTCGACAAACCAATGTATTCCCCACCTTTTGATCGCACGCGGGCATATTATCTTATTATTAACATTCTTTTTTTGTTAGCAACAACTTTGCAACGGAATGCTTTTATACGCTTCAACTGCAGTTGTGCGATAAACCGTTTGATTTTAACTCATTAAATATCTTTAAAATCAACAATGTTCCCCTGATTTGATTTTTTCAGATTTTAGTATGTTAATATGTGTATATTTCAGGAACATATTCACAAAATATTTCTTTTACAACTACTTCTGCGTTTATTATAATGTTATCTAAAGATCGATTGGTTCGTCTATAATGCTAAGGCAGTGTAAAACTGAAAATTACTCTGTCTTTGGATTGAATTTTCTAATAGTCCACACTCGTTCACAGAAAAATAACTTAGTTTATTATAATCCTCAATCATTTCTTAATTCATATCTGTTAAAATTAGAATTATTGAGGTTTATCCAATTTATGGAAATTGAAGTTGAAATATACCATACTTGTAAAGCTCATGTAAATATTTCATTAAATTTGAAACTCTCATTTGTAGAAATATTAATATGTTTGTTATATCATGAAAGATAAATGTATTAGCTTCAAGGTGGAAACAATTGCGCAGCCATAGTGATTGACGTAAGTAGTGTGCATTGAAAAAAGAAGGTGCTCTCCATTTCACCATGTTCAGTTTTTTGTTAAACTAAGCCTGCTGAGCATTTGGTAGCAGGGGAACACATTAGACTTCAAAGGCATTACGCAAACGTTCTTCGCACACTGCGGCAGCTTCGCCCTTGGCTCATTTGCATAGCGCTGCATGCGCAGAGCTTGTTCGAGTGATCTCAATAATACCTCCATGGTTACATATTTATCTGAGAAAGAGGTGATTACATTTTTTGGTCAAAGGTCATGGTTTAAGAAATCTGAAATCACACATAAATGCCTTGTCTGCATAATTTGGTATCCAAGCACAGGTTGGAAGTATGCATTCCATGGAGGGACTGCACTTTAGTTTAAAATATGTATTGACTTTCAATAATAATAATAATAATAATAATAATAATATAAAAAGTCCAGAATTGATAAATCAAAAGGATTAATGTTATATAATATATGGTCTTATGGTTGGTGGTGTGTGTTGACGCCCTAATGCCGTACTACGCATGCTAGTCGCTGATAGCCAAATATTCTAACAAAGAATGGCTAATAATAATAATGATGATGCAACTAACAAGAATCTAGCCCTATGGTACAGTGTGTACACTGCCAATACTGGTTAAATATTTAGTACTGTAATAACAATTGACTGAAAATCACAAGGACGGCATCAATAACAATAATTATTATTATTATTGGCTATGACTACCTAAAGATTGCTGCCGACGATAAATAATGTTGTGCTTCCTCGAACAACGCTCTTGTTTTGACAGAAGATTTGATTATTTTCTGTCCAAACAGAAAATAATCAAATTAATGTGCTGGAAACAACCATTGTCAGAGGGCAGTTTACCTTTACTTGACACACTGCCAAAACATCAAATCTCCTCGCTCATTATTTGATGTACTGTATTACATATTTTCTTAGATTTCATCTTATTTACTGCAATCCACTGGCAGTTACCTATATTGTTTTCTTTTTTTCACTTGCAATTTTTTAATTTTTTGACAGGAAGGGGATGTCTATTGTATTGATGCACGTTACTATGGCAATATAAGTCGGTTCATCAACCATCTTTGTGAGCCGAATATCGTTCCAGTAAGGATTTTTGTCGATCACCACGATCTGAGGTTTCCTCGTATCGTGTTCTTTACCTCACGAGACGTCAACGCCTATGAAGAATTAGGGTTAGTGCTTTTATCACTATCAAATTTCAGTTGATTAAAAATATGTGCAGGTCTCCTTCCAATTAAAGATGAATTTTGGGATCAGGGTTTCCACGGTCGTTTGCAGCTTTGTTTTTGAATTAGAATGATAAAGATTTAATATAGACATTTGTTAATTTGAGACCACAGAAAAGTGGTCTTTAATTGGAGGTGGTCTTTAATAAGAGGGAGAATGGCCGTATTCGACTGGTTGTTCTTCGTTAAACCACTCCCACCTGCGCAGTGGTAAAATCTTAACGTAGACGACTAGTCGAATAGAAAACTGGTAAGTACTCGACAAAACAAAATGGCTGCATAGTTACCACGACACACGCTGTTAGCCTACAATTATTTTTTTACTTCATTGTGGGTAAATATTGTAATTTTTATTTTCTGAAATTTAATCTAAGTTATATTAATGCAAATGTTGTTGCTAAACTGACCATTTGGCCATATTTTTTTTGTCACGTGCATAACTTAACACTGATTAACGCATTCTGGTTACGTTAATTTTCGTTGTCACCGAAGTCTATTTTACGAACCAGCCGAATGAAAATAATACTCAACGGAAATTCATACTCAACAAAATGAACCAGTCAAATAAGCCCAATGTGTTTATATTTTATGCATATATTTCTTTTTTAATTTAAGGAACTTTATGACATTTTTTTAAGTGATTGTTTTTATTTAACTTGCAGGTTTGATTACGGTGATAAATTCTGGGCAATCAAATCCAAGTATTTTAACTGTTGCTGCGGTTCACCATACTGTAAACACCCTTTGCCACAACCGGATATAGATGTGGATGATGTTGACGAAGAAGAGGAGGAGATTGTAGTCGATTAACTACTGTATGCTAATTTGTTATTGTACATAAGGTTTTTAATTAGTTAAATATTGAATGAAGTTGCACACAGATGGTAATATAAACAATTTGAGACCATTTTAAAGAATTTTTATTTTTAGCAGACACTTGCTATTGTGAAAAATAATTATATAAATACATTATTTTATCAGTGTCAGTTTATAAGAACATAAGACTCCAAGTTGTGACATGGTGTCAGTAAAGAAACTCATTTTTTTTTTTTCAAATATTCATATATATACAGTATACATTTTTGTAGATAATTTGGTCTTGTCAATTTTACAAATATCCTAAACTTGTCTATTTCAAAACTGTAGTGAAAATCACATGTTTCTATTATGTTATGTTAATGTTATGTTTAACATTGTACAGACATTACAGTAATATACACAGCATTTATAAATTAATGTAGTTGCCATTGTATTAATAATTTTATGCTACCATTTTGAATGAGATGTGCATTTGCAATGTGCAGTATTGTTTTTTAACGCCATAATAATACCATGTACTGGGTGCATATTTTCAATGATTCATTTGTAAAAAATGGATAAATTTGTGAGATGTTGAACAAAATTACTTGTATGTTTTTCTGTGTGTGTTGTATATACATCAGGAGTACTGTAATTGTAGCCAGTTATATTGTCATTATTTTACCAAGAAACTTTCGCATTGTTTTCAATATTTAAAACCCTTCCTAATTGACGGTATTTGTAATGAAATGGTGACCGATATTGGTTGTTTATAGTGTGTAGTTTTAAATATATTAATAAGAAAGTGCATGTGTGTGTGTGTATGTTAATGTTTTACGCACAAAGGTAGGATGTTTAACTATTAAATTCTTTTTTATTGAACAAATTGTAAAAATACAATTGTTATTGATTTTGTTCCAGTCCATTAATCTGTGTTGACATGCATGAATAGACTTACAGGCCTGTAGCGGTTTCATGCTGATGAGAGTGTGGCTACTTGTAACCTCCATGTGGCCACTGTGAACAATTTTCTCTAATTGCGTGTTCAAACTGATTCGAAATACTTTAGCATCGGGAGCTTCGTAGGTTGTGTATGGTTTTAGCATTTGCAGACTGGTGCACAAATATAGTTACCGGTTTAGTAGGAAGTGATTGCCACTGGGGAGGTGGGAGTATGTAGTATTGGTGACAATTCACTATCATTTCACACGCTTATTTAATTCATATGGATGCGGTTTAATATTATTTTCGTTCAGTGACATGCTCAATTATCTTTTTTTAAATCTTGAAATCCATACTACCCCAGAGGCGTATTAATTTTAATTAATTATTAGTCCACAACCAATTAAAAGCTAGAACAGAGTGGCCACAGAGGGGGGCGATTCGTCGGGGATCAAGTATTTTCTACATATATTAGTAGACCCTAAAATCGATTAAATAAGCCTGTGGAACCCCTGAATTGTCCCCTGGACCAGTTTCGAAAGATTTTGAGCAACGCCTGACAGCACCAACTTTGGCCTCGTCGGGGACCTTGGGCTCACTTTTTTTTCCTTTTGTCAAACATTTCTCATTTGTATTCATTATAAAAGAAAATTATCACCGAAGAGCGATTCGAACTCACGACCTTCGTTTAAGGATGTGTTCTAAAGAACTAATGGTCGCGAGTTTGAAACGCGTCTTGGTACTCAATATTTTTTTTACCCAATTTTAAGATTTTTTTTTTCAATTTTTAGTATTTTACTTTTGTAAAATTGATCTTTCTAAATATTTTTTATTTTTATTAATTTTTTTTTATACAGATAAACATTCTAATTATTTGAAAATTAGTATACAATTTTGCCATTACCATTAACAGGGTTCGTCGCATGACTGGCGCTGTCGTTTAAGGATGTGTTCTAAAGAACTTAAAGTCGTGAGTTCGAAATGCGTCTTGGTATTCAATTTTTTTTCCCAAGTTATTTATTTACTTTAATTTTGTACAAATGATCATTCTAAATAATGTTTTTTTTTCTTGTACAAATTAACATTCTAATTTTTTTAATTATTTTTTTTTATCTGATTAGCTCTTCCAAAAACCCAATATAATAACTTGCGCCTGTACCGCATGGATGAACGCGCCGATCTGGTGAGCGGTCGATCTTGTTAAGTTTGATTGACACTTTGGAAAGTCCTATTGTTTACAACGTCTGCTACTGTTGGTAGGCCTAATTGATTTTTTCCTCAATTGTGCAGATCCACCATCCATTAACATTTCAGGCATTGACTGAAATTATAGCCTAGTAATTTTGCCTAAATTAAAGTGGTTAATAAGACCTCTAAAAGTATTAGTGTATGAGCCACATCCGTGTCATGAGGGATTATTTGTTAAAAATAGTAATGTAACTTATACATAACTAGGCCCCTATATCTGTTGTAAAAATTGTGAAAAGAAAGCACAGTGAAAGAGAAATGGCTCTACAATTGGTGCAACAACGTTCGAAGTGTTTAAGTTTGGAATGGCCATGTCGATATTAGGGAGGACCCACTTTACGCGTAAATTCAAATAATGTGGACCCATTTTCTTAAAGTTAACCATTTCTACGCAAAAATATGAAAAATCTGGACCCATTTCATTATTTTCAAAAAGTGGACTCATTTTATGCATAAAAGTGCAAAATTTGGACTAAATGGACCCTTAGGAAAAGTGTGTGGGAAAATCGTATCGTTGAGTAATAAACCAACATGCTAAACAAAGTATGAAGAATAGCATCCCTGGGGGATGCAGTGGTGGTGCAGACGGTGTTATCGTATCCTCCTAAATTGGATTAAGAAAAAAAGATTGTTTTATTGTATTGATATGCATTACCGGTAAGATTTTTAAGGTATGAGAATGCCATTTCCGGGCACCTGAGGTCCATATTCTCAAATGAAATGTTCCACCACTGTGTAGACTCTCATGCACCCCTAACCGCCAAATCCTGCATTCAGTATCCAAAAGAAGATATATTAAACGATGAAGGCATATAAAAGTTGAGTGGTACTTCCTAAAAGAATATTGGTACATTTTAAGGTCATTTTCATTGAGATATGTAATAATTTGATCTTGGACTTCCTTTTCAACAATCTTTGTTGTGGGTAGTCATTGAGACTTTCCAATCGTTTAGAACCATACCATTCATTAATGATTTATTTATAATGAAACATAGATTTCGCGATATAGCGTGATGCAAATCAAGATTATAGCCTAGTATCGAAAATATGAACATCAATGTTACTATTTTTAGATAAGCATGCAAAGTTTTTTTTTTCAATATCGCCAGTTACAAGTGTCGTAAAATTTAGTGTGTGAATACAATTTTGGGTTCTCCATTCTGTTGTGTATTCTTTAATTGTGTTTGAAATGTATGTTGCTATATATTACTAAAATAGTCGCTAAAAGTATTACAATCAAAATTTGGATGAATATTGTTTGAATTTTTGTTTATTCTTTTCATCCTACAAACGATTGGGATCGTGTTTATTTGCTTACAACTGTTAAAGAACTGTTAAGAATTTTTAAATTGTAATCTTGCATTTGTTTCATAGTGATCAATTATTAAAAGGTGTTTGTCGGGTAAGTGTTTAACATGATTACAGTCAGAAAATCAGGTATGATCCATTTCATTTCATTTAACTTAAGTAAATAAAACTACTATACAAGATAATTGGTGACATTGTTCATTGGTTAATCCGATAAAAAACACCAATTCAATGTGCTTTTTCTTTTGGTCTTAAGAAGTAGAAATGCTTATTATTATGGCCAATCCAACCAATAGCCGGCTCTTCAAAGATGCCATCTGAGAACATCTAAAAATTAAGGTCCCCTGCTCCAAAACCAATCCATCGGTGGTGCTTGAAGGGCCCCGACTGTGCTCTTGAACAAGGGCCAGTCACAACCTAGATAGGCCTACGCCCTGCCCTTTGGTTCGGACCCCTCGTTAAAGTACTGCAGGTTATATAAGCTAAACGTCTGTGTCGTATCTAGAGTCTTAGAATGGTGGGGGATGATGTCACGGGTGTGGGGTGGGGCTCGATGATTAGATACGCCACTACTTGACGTATTAGTATTGCAGTTATTAACATTAGACTGACTAATAATATCTATCATCCGGCTTATTGTTAGCCCATACTACGTACCTGGATATTATGAATTTATACAATTATATCACTGTATTGTAAATATTGCTGTTTTTTTTTATATCATAAATATTAGTCCAAGATACTGTCGATAAATTAAGCAGAGAATAACTATCATACCAGCAAATATAACCAGACTTGCATAGATAGAAAAAAATACAATATATTGGAACCTGGCATTGCGTAAGTTGTGTGTTTGCTAACCTTTACTGCATACTACAGTATGCCATGTGCTTGTGGAAATATGAATTTTGTCAAACCCATCATATATTACAACTAGCAAACAGCAAAATGTAAACTGACCAACTTCTTCCAAATCACGGCTTTATGATTATGACTGTATGATACATTGACAAATTAAATCCTAGACACACAATATACGGATGAAATTAGAGGATACTAAAAAAAAAACACCCAAAAAAGTGCCTAGCTACACTTAAAGTGGCAGAAAATATAGGTAATAGAAATGCAATTTTTAATGAAATATTGACATAAAGGCGAGTGGCCAAGAGGTTAAGGCAGGGGGCGCCGCAACCTACAGTCATAATATCGGCGCTGGTTCGAACGGCACGCTCGCCTATAGTTCTGGAAGTGGAATAAGTCGGTATGAGGACATTATATAATTTAGTATACAACCAAATAAATAAATGAATTAAATAATTTTTAAAAGAAACTGAGGATTCACAGATTCACTAGTGAAACTCAGTAACTAATTTAAGTAAAGGAAAAAAAAAGAAAATGTTGGTATGATAAATTGTTGCATCTTATTTTCAATACATTTTGGCAAGTTTACTGCAATTTCCTGTATAGTGAGTGGTGTGTATATTAAGAGACATACATCACTACTAGACGAGACTTGCCTTTTTTTTTGTAAGACTCGCCCTCAATATCATTCGTGAACTTCGTTAAACATCATTCATTTAAACAAAATGAATCCCTCATTCAAAGTGTCAGTCTAAAATATGTAACAACTTGCCTGTGCCTGTGAATACAAAATCTTCACATACTAACTACGAATATCTTTTTTCATTGAATTTAATTTTTCGAATTACACATCATTTTTGTATACAATAAAGAATTGTTAATCTACTCAAGACCTCAATGCAAACAAAACAGGTACATTTTTACCTGATTGTGTCATT